TCTTTCTTTTCTTTTGCAATTTTCTAAAAGAGACAGAGTTTTACTTTCTCTTCCAAAGAGTTTTTGTTCGGAAGTTGGAACAATCAAAAGTCTTTTTTTTGGGATTTTCTTCTCAGCTTTTGAGCTCGGACCCAAAGTTTCTTTCTTTCTTTTGCTGTTCCCAAATTTAAGTTTCTCAGATTGTCGTTTCTTGATATTTGGTTCTTGCCGTGAAAAGTGTTGAATTTTAGTGAGAAAATTGATGTTTCATCTTCTGGGTAACTGAAAAGGTTCGTTTTTTAGCAGTCAAATTCTCTCTCTTTCTTAAATGAAGTCTTTTAAATGAAGTCCTTCTCAAATTTCAGTACTGTTTTATTTCAGCTCTGGAATTCGTAGATACTTCAAAGCTTTTTAAGATTTTGCTGTTTCATTCACAAATTCTCAAACTTTTTTTTTTCTTGTAGATGATGGCACAAATTCTCAGAATCCAACATTTGACTTTTTTTGCTAGTTCTTAGAAAAAATGGCTATGGCATTTATCACTGCTTTGGTGTTTGCTTGTTTATGCTCATCTGTTTCACCAGATGCTCAAGGTAAATTTCTCTCTCTTTTTTGTCCTTTTTAACATCTTTAGGCTTCTCATTGGTAGTTTCTAAGTTTGTCTTAGGTAAAGAATTAAGGTTTTTGTTGAACTATTGCAAACTTTTGTTATCAGGGAATGCTCTATTTGCGTTGAGGAGCTCTTTAGGTGCATCTCCTGAACAGCTAAGTGATTGGAACCTGAATCAAGTCGATCCTTGTACTTGGTCTCAAGTTACTTGTAATGACCAGAAGCATGTTACTTCTCTGTAAGTTTGATAAACACTAAGCAAAAAATTGGTCAAAGCTTGGTTATACTTATGAGTTTGAGAGAAGGATTTATGGTTGTGTGATTTGCAGAACATTATCTTACATGAACTTCTCGTCGGGAACTTTATCTTCAGGAATAGGAACCTTGAAAACTCTCAAGACTCTGTAAGTGCCTACTTTGAAACTGTGAGCTTGTGAGAAGTTAACTTCTTCTCTTTTCTGCATTTACTATATGGAAAATTCTTGTTCATGTGGTGCTTTCTTAAATGAGAGGATTTGTGGTTTTGTTTTGCTCGTTAGTACGTTGAAGGGAAATGGAATTACAGGTGGAATACCAGAATCCATTGGGAATCTGTCTAGCTTGACTAGCTTGGATTTGGAGGATAATCAGCTAACAGGTCGGATACCATCCGCTCTCGGTAATCTTAAGAACCTCCAGTTCTTGTAAGCAATTCTTCTTCTCAAGTTCCTTGAATCTTGTTTGAGATCTATGGGACCAAGAAAGAAGCTCATGTATTTATGCTTCTGTTTGGTTAACTAATCAGGACCCTGAGTAGGAATAACCTAAATGGGACTATCCCCGATTCACTCACAGGTCTTTCAAAACTGATAAATATGTGAGTAGTTGTTCTGTATTGTTCCCGTTTTTTTCCGAGAACAGTGTTACAGTATCTTAACGCTATCGCTTGAAACCACATTTGCAGTTTGCTTGACTCAAATAACCTTAGCGGTGAGATTCCTCAGAGTTTATTTGAAATTCCGAAATACAAGTATGTACAAGAGTACCTTCTGCTTCAAACACAATTACTTTACTTACCACGCCACTAATCTGATTTGAGTTTTGCAAACTTATAGTTTCACTGGAAACAGCTTGAGTTGTGGTGGCACTAACCCTCACCCTTGTGTAACCGAGTCCAATCCTTCAGGTAAACGACAATAGTTTTGCTTATGCCTACTATTTATGTTCTAGTTTCCATTTACTTTTCTTGGACAGATACTAAGTATTGTTTTTGCTCCAATAGGTGATTCAAGCAATTCAAAAACTGGAATTATCGCAGGAGTTGTTAGCGGAATCACAGTTGTTCTCCTTGGAATCTTCTTGTTCTTCTTCTGCAAGGATAAGCATAGAGGATATAAACGCGACGTGTTTGTAGATGTTGCTGGTCTGTGACAATATTCAATCTTTCTTGTTTCTAGTTTGATAGGGACTAAGAAATATTAAATCTTTTTCTATGTGTCATTTCAAAACTTTGATTTCAGGTGAAGTGGAGAGAAGGATTGCGTTTGGACAGTTGAGAAGATTTGCGTGGAGAGAGCTTCAATTGGCTACCGATGAGTTCAGTGAAAAGAATGTTCTCGGACAAGGAGGCTTTGGGAAAGTTTACAAAGGAGAGCTTTTGGATGGTACGAAAGTCGCTGTTAAAAGATTGACTGATTTCGAACGTCCAGGAGGAGACGAAGCTTTCCAGAGAGAAGTCGAGATGATAAGTATAGCTGTTCATAGGAATCTGCTTCGCCTTATCGGCTTTTGTACAACGCAAACCGAACGCCTTTTGGTGTATCCGTTTATGCAGAATCTTAGCGTTGCATATCGCTTAAGAGGTAACAAAACAAAACCATTACACTTCTGGTTTCAAGAAGTCTTTCAGTTTTTGTAATCGGGGGTTATATTAAAATGCAGAGATAAAACCCGGCGAACCAATTCTGGATTGGTCCAGGAGGAAACAGATTGCGCTAGGCACAGCACGAGGACTCGACTACCTTCATGAGCATTGCAACCCGAAGATCATACATCGAGATGTGAAAGCTGCAAATGTGTTACTAGATGAAGATTTTGAAGCAGTGGTTGGTGATTTTGGTTTAGCCAAACTGGTAGATCTAAGAAGAACCAATGTAACCACTCAGGTTCGCGGAACAATGGGTCACATTGCACCTGAATGTATATCCACAGGGAAATCGTCAGAGAAAACCGATGTTTTCGGGTACGGAATTATGCTTCTTGAGCTAGTAACAGGACAAAGAGCGATTGATTTCTCGCGGTTAGAAGAAGAAGATGATGTCTTATTGCTAGACCATGTAAGTAAAATGTTAGAAAATCTGTGATCTTTTTTGCTTCTTATCAAGCTTTCTGTCTCATATTGTGAAAATAAACAATCTCTTGGGTTTTCAGGTGAAGAAATTGGAAAGAGAGAAGAGATTAGGAGACATTGTAGATAAAAAGCTTGGTGATGATTATACGAAAGAGGAAGTTGAGATGATGATACAAGTTGCCTTGTTATGCACTCAAGCAGCACCGGAAGAAAGACCAGCAATGTCTGAAGTTGTGAGGATGCTTGAAGGAGAAGGGCTTGCAGAGAGATGGGAAGAATGGCAGAATCTTGAAGTTACAAGACAAGAAGAGTTTCAGAGGTTGCAGAGGAGATTTGATTGGGGTGAAGATTCTATTAATAATCAAGATGCTATTGAATTATCTGGTGGAAGATAGAACAAATACACTTTTTGATTTATATAAAAAAAAGATAGAAGAATCATGTGACTTAATTAACTATATCGCTTGAAAACTACTACATTTGCAGTTCGTTCAGGATCTCCAATCAACCACGAATTATTTGCTTCCCAAAAATATCGTATTGTATATAGCATTCGAAACTTGAAATATTTTTTAAAAATTGAAAAATACGAACCTTTTTACAACACAAATTTAAAAATAAACGTCTTAAACAATTTTTGGTTGCTATGGTACATACAGAATGTTCATATGAAGATCACAAACAACATGTATGAGTTATACATAAGACACACATGTACATTCTAAGACATTAGCACACATTATCATAGATCAACG